GTCAGCACACAGGGTGATATTAAGTACTTCAGGAGATGATTTTCTAAGTTATTTTTAGAAAAACGTTTGTAAGTAGAAATTAAAAAGGGGAAACGGTTCTTCGTAAATAATTTTATAATTTTTCTGTTTATTACAGCATTCAGGGACTATAAATAGTAAAATTTATTAAGCCCAGTGGAGGAGGACCAGGCTAAAATCATTAAAAAAAATGTGGGCTGCTGCAATTATTTTGTTGTCGTTAAAGTACTGCAAATTTACAATTACAAAATAATTTCTTTACTTTGGATAAGTTTGCTAGAAAAAACAACCTAGTGAAATGCTTTGCGGCGAAAAGGTTGGCCACGCCTCCTGGTGGAGCCAATCATATGCAGGCCAAATAATGAAAAATCCGTCTTCTGCACGAAAAAATGGTTATTAAACGATTGAAGGAAAATTTTAGTATTGAACAAACACATTGGGTATTCATGGATTTCAGGGGTGTTTTTTACAACTAAAGGTGACAAATAAATATGTTGCAAATTTACAAATTACAAGTTGTTCTACAAAATGTAAACAAAGTTATGGTCTTTTTAGCCACGCCTCTGGGAGGAGCCGTAATGAATATATTTATTTCAAGTGGCCAAATAATGGTTACTTTAAGCTAACGTATTGTAAATTGACAACTTATTAAGCACGTCTTTGTTCTGATTCTCCGACACTAATTTTGACTGGGAGAAAATAAGTAAAAGATACTTTCGGGCAAAGTTATTATTACTTGGCCACGCCTCCTGGTGGAGTTAGAATATTTGACGGTTATTCAGCTTTAGAAGAGTATTATTAAGCAATTGGTCAATAATTTTAGTGCTAGCAAATTTATGAAAATCAGAAATTAATTAATCTGCAGTTGATTTTAATTAAAAGTTTTCCAATTTTCATGCAAATGTCACAAGTTGTTAGAATTTTAGTAACAACTTGCAAAATGTCTAATTAAATTGGCAAGTTTTTATTAAAATCAGCTGCAGCTTAATTAATCTTTGAGCTTCAACAAAGGATTGGCAATTTTCAGGCTGAAGAACAACCAATATTTTAGATCCACCAGGAGGCGTGGCCAAATATTAATGATTTCGTCAGAAAACATGTTTTCTTTTCTGGCACAGTTTGTCTCGCAGATCAGACAACACAAATAAATGCTAGTTAAATTGTCAGTTTACAGTAGCTTAAGGGGCTTAAAACCCTCTCCCGGTGGGGTTACAATAAGTTTAGTGTGCGTATTTTTAAAGTAATTAATAATTCCGTAAGGATTTTTCATATTCTTTTAGCGGGGCAAAGTTTGAAGGCAGTGAAACGTTTTGATGCAAAACTGTAAACTCTTTGCCACGCCTTCTGGTGGACTTCTAATAATAAATATATTTTGGCTTTTAAACGCTTTTAAACGTGTGAAAGGATGGGCTATTGGAAATTTTCTAAGGAATTTGATCTATTGTCTGATTTGCGAGGGAAAGTTAGATTTAGGTGGAATGTTTTGTTGTGAAACTACGAATCTTTTCCGCGCCTCCTGGTGGTGTTTTTAATTCGTCTGGTTTGAGCTTCCTTAAGGTATTGACAATTGGAATTTTCTGCTTAGAGAGAAAATTAGAAAGAAAATTTGTTAGTGAAATATTTTAGTAGCACACAACTAGCTTTTGATGCGTATAAGAAAAATAATGGAAACAGTTTATTGAACCTTCAAGCATGCTTAAACACTACATTGGATTCATCGTGAAATGCACCAAAGTTTATTAGATTGGTGGATTTTTTCACTTCCTCCATAAAAGCCCCTCTTTCATCGGCCGCTCCACTCTAATGGCAAAACTCATTAGTCCAGCACACCAACATCCAATACAAATTAATTAAATCCCCTTCTTTATTTATTTTCCTTGGATACATGGCGCGAGCCAGATAACGTCCGGGCGTATTTTTAGTGGCATGATTCCAGATCTGTTTACTATAAAACTGTATACTCAGGAAATTGCTCTAACGTTTACGTTAGCGACTGTTTTAATCAATCCAGAGTTAATTAAGCTGTACTTGCCATGTCCATATCAAGGCATCCAGTGGCAATGAGGAAATATTGAAATTGTCCAGAAACCGATCCATTCAGATCGGGAATAAATAACGAACTACTTGAAACAATTCAAAAGTGAACAGATTCATCTGCTGCCATCAGCTCTTGAGATGTTTAAATTACATGTTGGTAGGTATATTATAGAATGTTATCTGATGAACCGAATTTAAACGACCTGGATAGAAACAGACTGCCAGATTGTGATAGTTTATTGGACATTTTCAATGCCACTGACCTAAATAGTTGGGCGAAAGAAACGGTTGCAAACATAGACGCATTTTGACGAAAAATGATTCGTAATTTCGTCGGACTTTGAGATTGAAGTCAAATAAACAGTCGGATGATTTATGTTTCATTAGCATCGTTTTTAGGGCCATTAGTTCCGGTAAAGGCCGGGAAATGGGTTAGTCGTTGATTTCGCAACACACAAAGGATAGTTTGCGCTACATTTTATCAGGCCTGATTCAGGCTAGTTAAAGGGCGCGCCCTTTACTGCGCCCTGCCCTAATTGCTTCGTGTTAGACGAATATTAATCGAGGATTTAGCAGCGCGGTTTTTCTGTAAATATTCATGGCATTTTTAGGCTTAGATGGGTTCCAAAGCTCATATAATAATGCTTCTGGTACTTGCAGCGACCCGCATGATCGTCCCGATCTTGCGCCAAGTGACTTCTCCCAAAGAGTCGATGGTACTGCGTAGTCGTTCAAAGTACCAACATAGATTTAAGACGGTATTAAGGCAACATAATAAGTTGGGGGTGCACTGAGCAATGTTCGCTAAGAGTTAATGCATTACCCACGTTGCCTGATGTTCAATGGCAGCCAGTGTTAAGTCAGTTCTTTCAGAGCCGCTTGAGCAAGAAAGCGGAGGATTATGGCGGAGCTCTGACAACGCCGGTTTCAGTTGGATTCTTTCGGTCTTTGATATCTCTGCATGACGCTGCTGGCCTGATACAAAGTACACGTGAGCTGCGGAACACTCCCACACAGCATTTTTTCCACTCTACCTACCTTTAAGGAATAATGAACAAAATGAAATTAAAGTAGTTGCGGATCGGCGGCAATTGAATGGAGCAACAAACAACGAGGTTTCAAAGCCTATTAATTGAAAAAAAAACGAAACTTGAGATACATTGCGGAATCTGACTGGATTTATTTCTGGTAAACTTGTGCTTTTTCAATCCATCCTTTATAGGCCTGACAAACAAACCGGCAATAAACAGGAAGGTGCTGCTGATTGACGAAAAGGCACTATGAGCATATGTGAGATTCTCGAGCTTAACGCTTCTGTTTGCTTGATACTAATGTGGATGTCTTTCCCAATAAATTCACGCATGAACGCGCCCTGGCCCTTCCTGAAGAACTTTTTTATATAATAAATAAATAAAATAGTGGATGAAAAACGATCAGAAGAAGAAGAGACAGTTCATGTTTTTGCTCAAACTAATTAGTTGTATTTAGTCTCGATATTGTATATACATATGTTTTCTGTAAGTCAATAAATAAATAGTAAATTAAAATTGAAATCAGCCCTGAAGTTCCAGTTTTGCTTTGATTGATTCACTGTTTCTTCTTGATATATTCTTTACTGTATGAATTAATAAATAAATAATTTGTCAATTGTGCAAAGCTTTTACAGATAGGAACTAGAAACTGTTTACATTTGGCTGCGCCTCTTGGTGCCGCCAAAGCAAATGTAGTTGAAATAGTCTCCTACTTGGCAATCGACTATAAAAGTATAAAAGTTATTTAGCAGTTTGACTAAAAAAAACTTGCAATTTCCAATTTTTCAACTCGATTTTTTTTTTTTTTTGGTTTGACCGGCGGCTGGAAGATAAAAATCTTCTCGAAGACACCCAGTGCTCCGTGACACTGCGTAGTGTTGGATTTCTACCAACTAAAAAACCCCCGTTTTTAAACTGCAAGTTTCCGGGAGTTATCCTTTAAAACTTGTAGTCTTCTGTAAGAATGGTTCAGCTCTGGCATCCGTATGCCTTTACATCACATTCTCTCCATCTACCTGCTAGCATGTGCATCTTACTAAATTGACCCAAGCACTACACAACACTATACCACTTCTATCACACTAACTTAATTAAGTTTCGCACTTACAGCACTTTGCAGATTACTGCTTTACCTATTGCCCTGTTGGGCCATCTAGTGCCTGGGCCTCTTTTTCCTGGGCTTTCCGTAGTTCTTCAAAGGGATGGTTTTCGGCCTTTTCAAAGGTCGAAGCTGCTTTCCGTTGCAGAAAGTCTCTCAGTGGCTCCCACTCCAGGTCCCTGTAGATTTGAGAATTACGCACAAACCAAGGCGCATCTATGGCCATCCGCAGGAGTTTATTCTCTGTGGCC